ATATAATTTTTAAATTTTTTAAAAATTGATAGATTTAATATATAGATTAAAAAATTTTAATTTAATAATTTAATTGTTAAAATTCAATATATATTTTGGATGACGAAATTTTATCTCTCCTCATATATATATATATATATATAATTTTTTACTGTACGATGAATCGATGATCGTATTGAAATTAAAATTTACGACCTGATTAATATTATCCCAACCCCACCGTTGTAAATCATCCAAATTAATCTTAACCATAAATTTCTTATGTCCATCAAGTTAAGAGAAATTAATTGCGGGTGTTTATGAATTATCAACTAGGCATTAAATCACATTAAGGTTTGTATAATGCCGCTGTGTCATAATTATGGGATGCAGTTTTTGGTTTTTAAGTTAGGCACTTGAATTCCTTCTCATCATTATATTATTTGTCAAAAAAAGGCAAGAACGAACGAGACCTCTCATGTAATCAAATCCAGCATGAGGTATTAGAGCCAAACCAGTTGAGGTCCCATTCGGCCACCCACCCTTCTTTTTTCGCCTAACCGTTTCATTTTGGCCATTAGCATGAGGTAATAATTAGACATTTAAGTACGACTAATAGCAATATGACACATTTATTTCCCTTCTTGTTGTTAGATTATTGGGAAGGACTTGTGGGAATAAAGTTCTGCAACTCCAAACAATATGCACGTCTCCAAGTCCGTTAAGTTTTTCCACTTCCATTTTCATATTGGTCTTTGGTTTGTAGATGTTTATTGTCTTGGATTCTAATTGCTTGATCATATATTGTATGATTAAGATTGATCAACATAAAAAGAAGCCTTCATAATAGAAAAATATAGCATTTTTTTTTCTGTCACTCTTGTTAAAAATTAATCCCATTTGCAGTATTATTTGATCGAAAGAATTTTTCACCCAATAAAAATTGAGTTAATTACTTATATACTATCGGTATAAATTTTTTTTACACTAGCAACCAATCATATCTTTTAATAGTATCATGTCAGTTGTTTATTTAATAAAATAATAATAAAATAAGTAACTTTAAAAGATATAATTGATTGTCAGTGTAAATTTTTTTATAATAACAGTGTATAGATGATTAACTCATAGAAATTTAAAGACGTGATTTTTCTTTAAATAACTTATAAGCGCATATATAGTATCAAATTAATACGTTAGCGCTAACTTGTGGGATTAAACAAATTAACTTATTAGATTATTCTTATCGTGACCAGTCCGAAACTCATTTTCCGTTCACATGTTGATAACTTTTTCAACATATTTTAGTAGTTCACCTCCCGTATCCCTTTTCTTAATTGCACTCACTAGCCTCTTGCCTACGAAACAGTTCCCCCTAGAAAAAGTCCATAAAGTGAAGCATTACATGCTGCATTTAAAGACCCTACCTTCAAACCTAAACCTCTCACTTCTCTCCGTTCTATTCTTAATACACCAAGTACCCAAATAGCATCACAAACACCTTTTTTTTCCCTTCAACTTGTTCAATTCTAAAATGGTTATTATAGCACGCCTTATGTTTCTGTTTGCATTGTTCCAAATGGTATTTGCAAAAGGGCACGATAATGTAAGAGAGGCATGCAGCGTGACAAGGTACCAAAAGCTTTGTGTTCACTCGCTAGCACATTTCTCCAACACTGCTGGAAGAAGCCCCAGCAAGTGGGCACGTGCGGGAGTGTCCGTGTCAATAGGCGAGGTCAAGAAAGTTAAAGCATATCTAGCAGAATTGAAGAGGCAAGGGCACATGAAAGGAAGAAACAGGGTTGCACTTTCAGATTGTGTTGAAACCTTTGGCTATGCCCTTGACGAGCTTCACCAATCCCTTGGTGTGCTTAGAAGCCTGAGCAGAAGCACGTTTAGTACCCAAATGGGGGACCTCAACACATGGATCAGTGCTGCACTCACTGATGAAGATACTTGCCTCGACGGCTTTCAAGGCAAAAATCATGAGAAGCAAATTAAAGTGCTACTCAACCGGGTTCAGAACGTGTCTTGCATCACCAGTAACGCTCTAGCGCTTGTAAACAAACTTGCCACTACGGGTCTTGGAAGCATCAACAATCCATAGAAGTTCAGAAATGGGTAAAAAATATATATATACTTGTTTGTATAATAAGCTGTGAACAGAAGATTTCTAGAGGGGCTATATAACAGTGGTTTTATATATGTGTCTAAAATGTATATTTGTTTGTTCTTCAATGTCCAGGAAATTTGACCATATATATGTGAGATTGAGTATGTTAAGGTTTGGATATGTAATATGTTGTTTTACTAGAACCATGGATTGGATGCTAGTTGCTCTTTGTAAATATGACATGCATGCAATACTAAAAGTTGTTCACCAGTTGAAGTTACTATTGTTTCTTTTGCTGAGTTCTTACATATTTGGGTGTCGTATTCTTTATGCTGTTTGCTCACTTTGTTACGTCGTCTCTGATTAGTATCAGTCAAGTTAGATTCTATTCTATTATATATATATATATATATATATATATATATATATATATATATATTTATTTATTTATTTATTTTTTTTGTTAGATGATTCATATTATTTATGATAATTGTTTGCTCTTCATCATGATGTAGAACTATTATTAAAAAAAAAAACTTATCGGAAAAATATTATAATATATTTATTATAATATTTCACCAATTCCTATATATAACATAATAACTAAAATAACTCCAAGCGTGTGGTTCAACGGTAGGAGTTGATCCACGCTTAAGCAAGGTCAGGAGTTTGAATCCTGCCTTGTGTATGTAGCCGGCTATCCCACCCTTTGAGTTGACTCCAACATAACGAGGAGATTAGTCACCACCGATAGGAGTGGATACTCCAGAAACGAACAAAAAAAAAATAGAATAACTAAAATATACCATTTATATGCATTTTTATTAAAGAAGTGAAGTGCTCATTTACCTCAAAATTTTAAATTTAATTACTCATGCATATTTTATATCAAATTTTAACAATTCAATCATTAAATTAAAAGTTTTTCATATATAGATCAAATCAACAAATTTTTAAAAAATTTAAAAATTATTTAATACTTCATTTCATTAATTTAAATCAACGTATAAAATATCTTTATGATTATTTATCAATTTGAATTACTAAAATGAGATATGAAATAGTTATAATTTTATTTTAAATATATAAATTTAATCTATGTATTAAAAACTTTTAATTTAATGGTTAAATCATTAAAATTTGATATAGAACATTGAATAAATTAAGAAACTTAAATTTACTTTTAAATTAATTAAATAATCCACACACAAATCGTGAATTATACTGATTGGGGTCGGTAGTTTGTAACATCCGAAAATACTCCAATTCAATAATTAAAATGAATACTAGGGATGTAACATTTAATCCAGATTAACTAACTTTTTTTAATACTCATCTACCTATCTATTTACAATATAAAGATTGAGCCACAAATTATGATGTTACCATCTCAAATTTTTAGAGATTATAAATTTTTCGCATTAACATTTTTTCTTATGTAACATGTTTTTCCTATTTCACAATTTGCTACATTTTTTTATTAATAGAGATTAATACTTTTTAATTGAAAAATGAATGTCTTTTATTTGTTATTAAACTCATTAAAAATTATTTATGTCATTATTTGAGTAGTCTCTTTCTTTTTATTTATTATTATTTTTTTAAACTTGTACAGGTAGGAGTGTTCGGCCACCACCCTATCGGCCGCCGAATGGCATGACCAGTTAGCCGAACGTCAATCGGCCACCTGGATCGGCCTATCATCACTTGGTATGCTTAATCAGAGATTAGGGGTTAATTAGCCGATTAAAGTGTATTACCTAATACGGTAATTATGTTGCAAGGCCCATGGGGTCCAGGGCCTATAAATGTCAGTATAAATAGCTCAGGTCAAAAGGTAACGTCACTGTTCATTTAATTATCCTAGATATCTGTGCTTGACCTGACTTGAGCGTTGGAGTGCCTTTTGCAGGTACCAACCCCTCTACTCACATCGGATCGGAGCACTCGTTCGGCCTTCATATTGCGAAAAGATCATTAGTGTAACCTCTTTGTAGGTACAAAACTTATGTGAGTTCATGTTATGTTCTTAAGTTTTATAAATATATCCATTTTAATTCAAATAAAAATCTATAAATATATTTTAATTATTGTGCTTTGATTCAATTTTATTATTTAAGTTTTTTGGGCTTTTAAAAGAACAATAATATATAATAGAACTTGATATATTTAATCCAATTTTAGATAAAAGAACTTAGAATGTCCCTCTTTAATATCCATTCATTTCTAACGATGATCATGTTTTATTTTTGAGTTATTATACTTTTAATACATAGTCATTATTTTATTAATTTATTTTTCTTTTTATTTTTCTTCTCTTTTTGTATCAGTCATATTTGTAAATATTTTTTCTTTTCTCCTCTTTCATATATCACTCGTATCAATAATTTCAATAATTTTTTTTATCGCTTCCATTTTCTTCTTCAGATTTGTCTTTCCCATCAACACACGTAAAAAAAGGAAATGCGGTAACTTAAAAAAATCCATTTATTATCTATAAAAAAATAATCCTTTTATTTATTCTCATTATTCATGCTTACTTTGATATCAATTGATACCTACTAAGTAGCACTAAAAGAAATTGACTACAAGAATGACTAAGGACTATGAAGGAATATAAAATAAATTTAATTTTCATCTATGGGCGGTGTAAAGATTTTTATTATATCAACTAATAAAAAAAATCTTAAATTAAATATAATCTTTAAAATAATTATTATAAAAGTTAACAAATTCGTGATGTAATTAAATAAAGTGTAAAAGTTACATTTCCGTTGCGTTGTAATTAAATTTATATTAAGTTACTTATAATGATTCCTATATGTTAAATGAAACGAAGCTTAGTTAAAGGAAAACATTCAGGCATCATGAGTTTATTCTGCTATTCATGTCTCCTTTTCTTTTGATGGCGCATGATGCAAATTGCCATATTGTGTTGTTTTGTGATAACACATGGCAACTGGGAAGAAAAGGGTTGCTTTGTGATTAAAAAAAAAAAAAAAATTTATGGTATATTGTATATTTGGTGTGGTGATGGTGTTGCAGGTGGTCCAAGAAGTAATAGATCCAGAAGAATTCAGGCCCAATAGTTTTTGGCCAACCACAACCTCTTAGTCTTAGGTTAACCTTCCAAACTATCTAGAACTTCCATATTCGTTATTTGATCAAATTGCGAATTGATACATCCAATTAGGAGCTTAACAATAGCATGTGTTGTGATTAAAAGTAAAACAATCTTGATCATTGTATATAGTTGTATGAGTAAGATTAACTTTTTGTTTTGGAAATTTTCACCATATCCGCCCCACTATAAATGAATATACCTACTGAGAATGTATAAAAGGACAAGAACTAATTTTAGGCATATTGCATAGTCAAGATTGGTTTGATTCAAATTTATTTTCTTCCAGGTTTTAATCTTTGCAATGTTGCCCACACACCAGCTCCCCGAATGTTATTTTGATGTTCCCTTTGAAAAATTTCTGGAACGACGCTATTTGGAGCATTGCCACATTTCGCTTTACTTTTGTAAACAATTTAGACTCCTATCAATTATGAAACCATGGGGAAGATGGTCATAATAAAACATTATATAGGTACATAGTCACAGTCCCTTGGATAACAATCTAAATTGCAGAGTGGTGTTGCAAACGGCTTCTTTTCAACCCACACAGATAGCTTCTTCGCCCCTTCCTTTGTTGCTGCAGAATCTTTGCTTGTGATGCAACTGTGGTCAATCTCTCAATGCCATAGTTATAAGTAGTCTCAAATTGTTTTGGGGACTCACAAGTGGCATTGCTCGTGTGCATGTCTAGCCACATTATAATATCTGCAAAGACTTTTTCGATGTTGTCATCCGTTTCCCCCGAAGTTAAGCCATGCCACATTCCCGGGTACAATTTTATGGTCTTATCTTTGCTACTTGCTCGCTCATATAATGCCCTGCTTACTTCTGGGTCAGTCACTGTGTCTGCTTCTCCATGCAATACAAAAAACGGCAGAGTCACCTGATCCAAATTCAGCCAACAAAGTCGCCTATAGTGAGTATATTTAACAGGTGATCATTTTTTAGTATGACATTGCTGATGATAGAGAATCTGATTGACCATTTTGATTATGAACTAAACCCAATGTAAAAACAAACCTTATATAAGCTGTCTTCAAGGCTAATGCTGATTCTCAACATTTCTAATGCTGTTTTTAACCTGGGTTTGTCCTGGTATATCAACTTGTTTTTTCTTATCTGCAACCAACGTTAAAGGGAGAGAGGCACATTAGTTAACTCCAGCACTAAAACAGCAAGATTTCAAGTAAGCATCTGAGAAAGAGGTTAAAGTTTCACCCTTTCGCGTTTGGCAGGGTCTTTGAAGGCTGAATTGATGACATCCTTTGTGGGAACAATCTTCCACTTTGGGATTATGTCTTCCACTTTAGTCAATATGTTGACCACCACCGGGTGTGGCTTCACCTTCTCTGATATCTGGTTTAATTAATTCTAAACTATTAATATGATTTGTTTTTCTATACTAAAAAAAGTTGATGCAAAACATGTTGATAGTTGATACCTTACACATGGGGGCGATGAGAACCGCACCGTCCCAGAATGAAGGGTCCTTTCTATGTAAAAGTAGGCTCACTGCCCCTCCCATGGACTCTCCATACAAGAACCTACCCTTTCCCTTGTACTCTGGGAGCTCTGAGAAACGCATATATTATAAAACATGAAGCTTAGGTGAGATTTGAAGAGAGTAATGGTGAATCTGAATCCCTACTTACTTACCGCTAACTGACTTGAAAAAGTCATAACAATCGTTAACGATGTTATCAAACTTCTTAATGTAACAACGAGCTCCTTCAGAACCTCCATGCCCTTCATAATCGATTCCGAACACAGCATATTTGGCACACGCTAGCCGTACCCCACATTCTACCCGCCATGCAAACCAAACAAACCAACACATTAACTTTCATTCTTACACATAACCACAGTCATAACTACTCCGCATGAAATAAAAAACTTTACTATATACTATTTAACTTTCATTATTTTTATCTTTTATATTTTTAAATAAATATATCCAGCAATAGGGTGTCTCTTCCCACAATAATACACTTCAGAACAATAGTAAATTTCCCTCTTAATTGTCGAATCCAACCAGAAGGGGAAGAAAATAAAGTAAAATAAATCCTTTTAGAATAATACCACATATCACTCACTACTGACATGACATGTCATAAACTTTTGTTAACAAAAAAAATTTAGTTAAGATATCCGGAGCTACCTACATTCTATTTCATAGTGCTGTGAATTTTAGTTGGGTCACGCCAGTACTAAATCTGTACAGCATGCAATCCATTAAAAAAACAGTACTTTTTTGACTTTTTTAGTCAAACCGTACGTACCCTTGCGTGGCTACAAGAAAAATTGGAAGGCAACCAAATTGTAAAAGATCTCAATTTCACAGGTTTCGTTTTGAAAGGCAACAAAATCAATCCGACGCTGATCATCATGACACACAGAATTTGGTCAACAAATTCTCTTGCTTAAAAATAAAGTTAATCAAAAAAATATGGTGGACACTGGCTGATCTAGGACCTTAGATCAATGGGACAGTTTATTTTTTTATTTATTTATTATATACATATATATATATATTAATACATAAATATTAGATGAAAAAACAAAATATTCGTTAGAATTGAAAAGTAAACTGAAAATAGGCCAAAAAAAAAAAAAAAAAAAAAAAAACTAGCAATACAAAACAAAAATTGACAACAAATGAAAAATTAGGAATAGGAGATTCACAATTTAAATTGAGAGGAAAAAATTCATAATTTAAGACACTTACATATATTATTTTAAAAGTTAGGAATGCACCTCGAATATAATTTTATCACTTATGGTAGATGCAAAATTAACATTTGAGTTAACCCTATTTTATTTTATTTTAAATAATTATAATATTGATGTGAAATATAAAATTAATAATTAATTTTTATTAAAAAATATAAACACGCACCTTATAGAATTTATTTCATAATCACATACGTAGCTTTTAGAGGTAGACACTAGACAGCCTATTGGGAGTATGAAGTAATTAATATCTTAATCGGAGGCTCAACCACTAATGAATAAATATTCATGTACTCCACAGTCTATATTTTCATTTTAATTGGAGGGGGGTTCAACCACCTACGACAAGACGGCAAATCACGCGACGAACATAGATAATTATCGGATTCAAACGTTAAAGATTTAAGTCGGTGTGAATTTAAAGTATTCAAGTATACATATCTTTTTATAGAATAATAAAACTCTTATATTCTCTATACATACAAGATTAATATTCGGCTCATATGTTAATTTGATCTTGAACATAATATTTCTAATAAAACTGAAACCCTTGTGTGACACGTAAATTGCAGAATTTAATTTGTGTTCGTGAAACAGACACAGTTGCATAGTTATTTTACCTACTAATTTTCTTTAAAGAGAGAAACATAGGGGGAGAAATATTTGGAAGGAAAGGAAAGGAGAGTGATGAAAGATCATTAATTACCTCTCATGAAACGACTGCACTCCATGCCATAACCTGCAACATATAATTAATGAAACCAAAGTAAAAACGACAGCTACTAAGAGAGAGATAGAACATAGAAGGAAATTAAAGAGAAGAGAATTGTTATTACCATGGCAGAGGAAAACGAGGGCCCTTGGAGAAGAGAAAGGCACCCATTTGCAAGTGAAGAGTTGCACTCCCCTTGAATTCTTCCAATATTCCTGAACAGGACCATAGTACAATTTCCATATTAGAATAGTTACCATAAAATAATGAAGGAAAGAGGAGTGTGTGAAATGAAGAGAGTTACCTCTTGATATTCAAAGTCTAGATCCATCAAAGAGAAGTGATGAGGGATCTGCAAAGTGCACTTCTAGCTCACTGGTTTATGAAGCCTAAAGCACGTGAAGATGATGAAAGTTGTTAATTATAAGTGAAAAGCAACAAGGCAGAGGTGAAAGAGTGTGGTGGAGGAGAGAGAGAAAGAGAGAGAAATGGAGAAGGAATGGATAGAAGAAGGTAGAGAGTCCTGTCCCTTTGGAGAGCCTGTTTTCTTATACATATTAATTTCACTGTTTACTTTTTTCTTTCTCACTCAATAATTCCATGTACTTTTTCCCTCAATCAATGTGTTCTCAGTTTTCTTTTATAATCAGTATGGTGTTTTAGTTTATTCATATGGTAGTAATTTTTATGAATAAATAAATATCTTTAATTAAAGGATTCATTACTAGAATTTCTCTTATTACATGTGATTTTTTTGCGAATTTTTCATAAAAATTCGCAGGAAATGTTGTACCTATAAATTTCTCTGCGAAACTTTATCTGTAGGTAATACTTTCGTGGATAATATATTTTTATGAATTTTAAAATTCGCAGGAAATTTTTCTACGAAATTTTTTGCGAAAAAAATTCGCAGGAAAGTTTCCTGATAAAAAAAATTTGTAAGAAAGTTTCCTGCAAAAAAAATTTCGCAGCAAAGTTTCCTGCAAATTTTTTCGCAAGAAATTTTGCAGGAATATTTTTTACGAAAAAAATTTAAAAAATTACTATAAATTCTATCAATAATTTTTTAACTTTCAAATGCTCATAATGAATTCATCCGAAAAATTTGTTTCCATGCCTTCAACATGTGATACATCATCTTTTAAATTATAAGATTGTAGATTATATAAACCTAACACTCAACCATACAAATCAACTTGTAAGGTAAGTGTTGCCCCAACTTATATACTCTTTAATTGCTTTATTTTCAATCGATGTGGGACTTGAAGTTTTTTAAAATATTAAACTTATAAATTTAAATAATTTTTTTAATTTTTCCTGAGGATTAAAATTTGTAGGAAAATCCGCAAGAAAAGTTACCTGCGAAATTTCTACCATTTAGTAAACATTACTTGGGAATTTATTTTTGCAAGAAAATCTGCGAGAAACAAAATAAAATTCTTACAATATTTTCTACAAATTTTTACCATGAAATTTTTTTTCTATGATTATTAAAATTGTAGCATAATTTGTAAGAAATATCTGTAAATTACTTTTTCCAAATAAATTCGCAAAAAAATTTTGCGAATATTTTTTTTGTAAGAAAATTCGCAAAAAAATGACACTTTTCTAGTAGTGATTCTAGTTCGGTTTGTTGAACTGTGTTATAAATTCTATGTATACTATAAAGTCTTGATAATATTAATACGTCGTTAAATAAAATTTAATTTAATTCTCTTAAATAAAATCTTATTTTCAAAACAAACATAGTTGAGTGAAGAGGCTTCATTGATCATCATCATTCATAATATTCTTTAATAACTATATTCGTCATTTTTTGGAAAAGCAATACCCAAAACAAAATAAAATATATATTTAAATATACTAAAGTCAACATCCATTAATTGTATGTATTATTTGGTTAAACATTTAACTTGTACAAACTGTTAATTGTGTCATCAACTTTTATTAATAATAATTTGTACTAAATGATATAGTTAAAAATGAAAAATAAAGTCAAGAAAAAATTATTTATATTTTTGAAAATTTAACAATTATATATTAAAAGTAATACATCTAATTAAATTAGAGCAACGCCACAATAATCGATTAACATATGTTTGTACATGAATATATAATATAAGAGTTAATCACTTATACACTGTCAGTGTAAAAAAATTTTACACTGGTAACCAATCATATCTTTTAATAGTGTCATGTCAGTTGCTTATTTAATAAAATAATAATAAAATAAGCAACTTTAATTTAAGAGATATGATTAGTTATCAATGTAAAAAAAATTTCACTGATAGTGTATAAATGATTAACTCATAATATAATACAAAAAAAAAAGTACATAAATATGTTATATAATTACATCTTTCATACTAAGTGAATGTTTGGAAATGTTTAGGGTTTGCTTTGTTTAACATTAAAAAAAATCACAAAACAAGTGATACTTTAAGAAAGATAAAGCCGTTTTTTTTATAAAAAAATAATAATAATAGAAGTGTTTTTTAACAAAATAAATAATTTTAATTTTTTATGGTATTTTTCTAAAATAATTTTTAAAAAATTGTTTTTTTAATGAAATAACTACTATCTACTTCTTAAAAATTATTTATCTAAAAACACTTTTCTTAATTTTAAACACATTGGCCTAGCTAGGGACTGTCTTAAAAAGCAGAAAATGACTCTCTTTTTTATATAAAAACAAACACATCAAAAAATAGAAAATTATTTATTTGATTTTGAAAAGAAAAAAAAAATAGGCCTTATCTTGTGTAGTGTAAAGTCATAGTGAGATACAGTGATTTTTAAGTCCTCACTATCGATCTAAACGCATAGTAAATCTATCAGAAGTATATTTCAACCGAAATTATTTTAGTTATAATCAATTTGTTATTCAATTTGGCGTAAGTAGTATTATTCAATTCCATTTTATTATATGCATGCATGTATATCGGAATGGTAACAATGGTGTAATCTCTAACGCTAAACCCACAAATTAACGAACCTCTTGAGGCATGTGACAACACTTCTAAAATACTAACAAACCAAGAATTTGAAATCCCGAATACAAAGAAAGAAGGGAGTAGAGTTAGACGAAGAAGACTGAATGAAAATAATAAAAACAATTCGTGAAGTAATATATTATCCGGAAACAAAATGCTAAAGACAATTAGGAAATGGTTAACGTAATTTCCAAAATATGAAAACGGTAATTTTTGTATAGGCACGGTAATACAATACTGTTAGAACAACATGGGCATTAATTTACGTAAATTATAACAAATTCACTTATTTATATTATTTTCTATGCTCTGTCAAAAAAACATATTTTTTATAGCTTACTTTAAAAAGATATAATAAAACTTTTGATTAGCCTCATTCCTAGGGGAAGGAAATCAAACTGTATATTTGCTGTTAGTTTTGGCCATACTTTGGAGGGTTGTATGAAGGCTTTTGATATTGTTACTTTATTTCTTTCCTTAGTCATTTTTGGCAGATACAATAAACTTTATTGTGTTTTTGTGTGGCTTATAGTTTTGTTTTGGAGTTTTTGTCTTTCTTATTCAAAAAAATATATATATTAAAACTATCTCTTTATTATATAAAACACTATTAAGAATACATAATAAAATAATACGAAATTTGTGCATTTTGAAGTACCTTTAAAAATACACTATAAACGATTCTAAAGACTGCATAGTTATAATAATGTATTTGGAACTAGTAACTTCCAAAACAAAAATTAGAGCTTTATAAATATATTGTTGAAGTCATTCTTCACTTTAATGTTTTATATTAATAATATACGTTAAAATTTAATAAAATTATTTATTACATAAATTATCAAAATAGAATTCCAAATCTGATTGATCAACAGTATTAAATATTGTATGTAAGTTTTATCTTATACGTAATTCATTATCTGTAGAAAATATAATATAACCAAGGGTAGATGAGATGCTTTTGTATTGATTTGTGTGCCCGATAAGAAATGATGGTATTGCTAAATTGTTAAATTTAAATGGTAGTTGCGTGAAATTAATGGATTCCACGTGATAAAGTGTATAAACTAAAATGGGTAGTGGTACAGAAGAAGCGTGGATGTAGCTATCTACACATGCACGTACCCATACTTCTCTTTACATAACATTTAGACAGGGACAACCTTATTTTATTTTTTATTGACACATAGAAACTTCAAAGAAAAAAAGAAAAAAGAATGTCTTGGAGAACTAAATTTTTATGCGTGTTTATCATAATTAAAAAACAACTTCACCTGACCACACTGACGTCCCACGATCAAAAGAAAACATAAATGTTATTTATGATAATAAAGGAAAACAAACTCTCAACAACAACCGATGGATAAGTCTGCAAAAATTTAATAATGTAATATTACCGTTGGATATGTCTAGAGGAATAATTGCTGGTTCGATGAAGGAAGGTTAACATATGTCACTTTGCACTTTGCATGGTGTATGTAGCAATCCAATTGCTTCTTTGTCATCTAATTCTAGTTTTGTTACTTACTATAGGAGGGTTGCAATGGTTGATTCTAATTTAGTTCACAAGACTGTATTCTGTTAACATTTTAAAGTTTATTACATTTTAATACTCCTTTTCAATAAAATTTTATTTGCCGCGAGAAAAACTCACTCAAAAATTATTATCCACTTAACACTAAAAAAAATACAGTGACATATGTCTTATAGCGATTAGAGATGACAATGAAACTCCATGAAAACGAGTAGTAGACAATTCGTCTCTACCTTGTACTCGTTCCATACTTGTACGAATATTCGTTAAGTGAATATCTGCAGGTATTCCTGAATATTTGTAAATTTTTTAAAAGTTACAATTTTTTAAAAAATATTGTGAATAACTTTAACCTTGTATTTTATGTTAATTATATTGAAATATTAAAGATAAACAATTGATATTAATTTTTGAACTTGTAATTATGTTTTTAAAATATTTAAAATAGTATAAAAAGTATAAGATAAAAATATAAATATTTTTAAAAAAATTAGTGGATCTCGCATATATAGATACTACCATAGTCAATTTGCCTCATCGCGTTTATAAACAAGTAAAAAAATGTTTGTATATGTTACTCACGAATATTCATTTAGGCTATCTATTTATTACCCATGATGTATTTTATCTATTGATACTCGTGGGTATAGATTTTTTTTGTCATCCCAAATAGTGATATAACATTGTGTTGTGTGAATTGTTGTTTGTTTAATTATATTATTTAATTGACTAACTGTTGATGTGTTGTTTTAATGTTTTAAAACTCTAATGATCAATAAATTTTTATGAGTTTATTAGTTGTTTATGGATTGTTTTGGGTTGAGGTCAAACTTGATCAAGTTTAGGAGAAGATATATAAGATTTTCCTAATACTTGAACTTCATAAGTTCATTTTGTAAGAATTGTAGAGAGATGTTTTAAAG